ATGAGAGGCCTGGCAGGTGTAACTGCTTGTAGGAGGAGTTGGAAATGGGGCCGCAAAGGAGGATGGGTGCAGATATTTAAACCCAGATGCAGCAGCTATTGAGAGAGAGAGAGCCACGAGGTCTCAGCTGAGTTAAGACCCCCTCTTGCCGAGGTGAAGTGGGGGGGGGGACCATGCGGTTTTTGCCAGAGTGCAGACCCCTGCAGCGAGGTGAAGAAAAAAGGCTCATGCTTTTAGTGGAGTGCGAACCCCTGCAGCTTTGGTAGAAGAGGCCCACGCGGCTTTGGGGTGCCCCTTTGGCCGAGTGGCCTGGAAAACAGGAGAGACTTTGACTGGAACTGGGTACAAAGAACTCTTGCCAGTGGACCATGAGAGGGTACCACATAACTTTGGATTAACTAGAGAGAGATCCTGCCTGCACGGTGACACAGCTGACGGTGCCAGCGGCCTGCAACACAGACGTGAGCTCTTTTCCTGATTTATGGTACCCGGAGTTGGGACAGTGGGAGAAGGGAGCGCTGTGTGGGTGTAGGTGTATACCCTAAAGGACTTTGATATTTTAGTGGAGGCGTTAGGCCTGAATAGCATTAAATAAACATTTTGTTTCCTTTTCACCAATCTCTGGTATTGAGAGATGTCTTTCCAATTGGCGGCGGACAGAAGAGCCCAGTAGATATTAGTATTCTGTCCTTGGGAGGGGACTCTGTTCTTTAGCAGTTTTTGGCATCCCTAGGTGGGCCAAATATTGCCCCCCTTGGACCTCTTGTTCTGAAACACCTTCACTTTGGTCACCCAGCCCTCCAAGCCCCCTCCCCTCGGGCAGCCGTCATTCTGTTCTCTGTATCTACGAGTCTGTTTCTGTTTTGTTTGTTCGTTTATATGGTTCTTTAGATTCCACGTATATGTGAAGTCATATGGTATCTGTCTGTCTCTGACTGACTTGTAGTTCTTAGCATAATACCTCCTAGGTCCGTTCATGTTGCCGCAGGTGGCAAGATTTCATTCCTTTTTTATGGCCGAGTAGTACTCCACTGCATAGATGTACCGCAGCTTTTTTTTTTAAATCCATTCATCTATTGACGGGCATTTGGGCTGCTTCCAGAGCGTGGCCATTGTAAATGCTTCAGTGGACATAAGGGTGCACATATTCTTTCGAATCCATGTTTCGGGTTTCTTCAGATATACATTTAGAAGTGGAATCACTAGCTCATAAGGCAGTTTCATTTTTAGCTTTTGGGGAACCTCCATTCGATTTTCCACGGCAGCTGCACCAATCTGCATTGCTGCCAACAACGCACGAATGTTCCCCGTGTACTACATCTTCCCCAACACTCGTTGTTTGTCCTTCCCTTAATTCTTCTCACTCACTAAGCAGATCATCTGCGAGAACCATTAACTGCACCCAGGCTCCACCTGCTTCTAATGAAGACCCCGAATAAAACAAGCGCACCCGGGCGGTCTGGTTTCAGAGCCCGCCGAGGAAACACGGGGACTCACAGACACACGATAGGTCCACGGGCTCACTTTTTGAAAAGAGCTTTCAACAGGCCCTCATGTCACATCAACTCAAGGCAGGAGGAACACTTTAGTCCCTGGTTAGTTGCTCACCCCTTTTCTCCCTCGTATGGAGCTGTCTGCCTTTCTAATCCTGTTTCTTGGGTAGTTCTCAGAGCTGAGGACTCGTCTTCATTCTCTGCTCTATGTCTTGGCTCCAGTCACCTCCCTCCTTACAGATTTCTGCAGGAGCCTCCTAACTGGTCAGCTGTTTCCGCTCTTGCCCCCTCCATCCATTCTTCCAGCCGCAGCCCCAGTGATCTTCTGAAATGCAAATCTGATGGTCACTGTCATGCTCCATGGCTTCCACGTGTGCCCGGGGTCATGTCCACAGCTTTTCAGATCTGGCCCACATCTCCCTCCCCAGCTTATCTGCAGCCGCTGACTTGGAAAGTATTTTAATGGGTTCTTCCTTCACGTCTCTCTTCCTTGGGTCTAATTGATCCACGCTGCTCTGACTTAGTTGCAGGGTTTCCACTCATAAATGCCTGATGCTTTCAAGGATGGGAGATTTCAGTGTGAAGGAAATCACTGCACCTCCAGGCTTTGCTCTCTGTACCGCAGGGGCTTCCCTGGAAGGCAGAAAGCGGGGCTACATGTTAAGGCAGGTGGGTAAGGTGAACTGGCTACCAGCGTGGGGGAGTTTCGTCAATAAATCCAGCCAAGACCCCGCCCCCCTGCCCCCACCTGGTGTTGCTGATCTGCCATCAGAGGGGCTCCACTGTTATTGGTGGAAATTCCAAGATGCAGCTCACAATGGCTTCCAGCTTAGGCCCCGGAGGCCCAAGGCAGCGCCCAGACACGATGCCGTTCTCTCACTCCTTGGCCATACATTTCATCGGCCCTTTGTCCATTCCCGGCTGGTCGTCAGCTCAGCCATTTACCACTGAGGACACCAAATCCCAGCGTTGCTCAGCCCTGGCCACGTGGGAAAGGGGGTGCAAATGGACCCTGCTGGGGTGGTCAGCACCCAAGCCAGACCCTCAGGACCTGGTCAGTAGACCTGACCCTGCGGGCTGGGACCTTGCGTGGGGACACTGGAAGCTTTACAGGGGGCTTTTCTGGTACATACAGGCTGAGGTTCTGGCCCACGCTCATGGAAAAAAGAACAAAAGGGGAGACATAGCAGCAAATGCCACAAAGACAGTAACAAAACCAAAATGCCTTGGAGCGAAAAAGAAAAGGAAAAAAAAAACTGGAACAAAGCCGATAGCAACCTCAGCCCCTGCTTGCTATCACTGAGCAGAAACTTGGTTTATTTGAGTTTTGCTTGGAGACAGCACGGTTTTGACAGATGTGCTGTGCGTCCCAACATTAGGGCTGAAAGAGGTGTCTCGATATGATTGGGAGAATGAGGATTTTAATGGCCCCTTTCTTTCTTCAAGTCTTTTGCATATTTTCTACTCCACTAGTCTCCGGTTGCTTACAGTTAAATATAAATGAATTCCTCAACTCCTCGCCTCTTCCTCTATTCTATTCGACTCATTTTTAGAGGGTTTGACTCTGTGTGTGTGTGTGTGTGTGTGTGTGTATTTAATCTATACAACAAAAAAGAGAAAGCAACAGAAATGAGAAAGAGGTGAAAGACCAAAGATCCCCCTGGAAGCCAGGGATGAGGATTTTGATGGATGTTGAGAATTGAGGGTTTTTTTGGTTTGTTTTTTAAGTAATAGTACTGTACTAATCAGCTTCAATGCAACAGATGGCCTATTAGGTTTGCATTCTTTCTAACCTTCACATATCTGCAAGCTGATACTAGTTTTCCATCCACTTTGCAGATGAGAAAACTGATACTCGGTGAGATCACCATTTGCCCAAGGCGCCTCACAAGTGGTGGAGACAGGCTTCAGACTCAGGTATGTGTGGCCCAGAGCACTTAACTAGGCTGCTAGGGGACGGAGCCGGCTGTGATTTTCCTGCTCGGCTCCCCCCACCCCCCCTTATGTGCAGCTCATTCGCATTTCCCCTTTGGAAACTCTTCCTCCTCTGCTCTGTGCTCATAGGATAAAGTTGCCTGGCCTGGGGCGGGCACTTGACCAAGTCCTGACCAATCCGAGCACCCTGACTCTTGGCCAACGTGTTTGGTGTATGGATGGCCTAGAGACTGTTAGCAGGATGGTTAAGAAATGTGAAACCTTTTTGTTTAGGATTGCTAGATGGCTGGCAATCTCCTGTTGCCTCGAGGTTTTGAGGGTCTTCTTTGCCACCAGGAGGGGAGAGTCTGTAATGGAAACAGTCACCTAAACGGGAGGTGGGGAGTGAGAGTCTCCAGAGTGTTGTTTGACTATATGGCTCCAGCATTAACGGAGGCAGGAGTCCATTCTTGAACTTGTGAGTTACACAAGTTGTTGCTTTCCCCAAGTTCTGAGTAAGGCCTTGGAGAGGAGAGCTACATACCGCCAGTGAGAATGAGGGAGACGAGGTGGGCCCACGGGGGCTGTGACATTGTGATTTATGATTAGGAGCATATACTTGGGCTTCATCCTTGGTGTTGGCACGAATTCCTGAAGCCCTTGGCATTTCCTAAGTGATGAGAGCCAGGAAGGTGTCTTGTGCTATGTGAAGGAGGTGACTTTTGGAAGCACCTGAGGATGGGGGCTGGTTGCCAAGAGAGCCAACCATGTGATTCAAGTGCTGGAACTTGGAGTTCTACCTTCAAGGCCTCCGGGGAGGGGATAGAGGCTGGAGATTGAGATGAATCACCAATGGCCAATGATTTAATCAGCTCTGTCTGTGTGATGAAGTCTCCAATGAAGCCCAAAAGGAGACGGTCTGGCGAGCTTTGGAGTTGGTGAATGCATGGAAGTTTGAGGACAGTGGCCCATCTGGAGAGGGCCTGGGAGCTCTGCGCCCCTGTCCCCATACCTGGCACTGTGTACCCCTTCCATCTGGCTGTCCCCGAGTTACATTCCTTTATGAAGAGCTGGCAGTCAGTGGATTGCCTGAGTTCTGTGAGCCGCTCTAAGCAAATTAATCGAACCCAAAGGAGGGGGTCATGGGAATCTCTGATTTATAGCCAGTCTGTTAGGTGCACATGTAACAACCTGGACTTGAAATTGGCATCCTGAGTCGGAAGGGGTCGTTGGAACCCCCGATTTGTAGCTGGTCCGTCAGAAGCACAGGTGGGGGAGCTTTCTTGTGGGACTGCGCCCCTCACCTGTGGGATCTGGCGTGAGCTCTGGGCAGATGGTGGAAGAATTATATTGTAGGACACCCAGCTGGTGTCCGGAGAAATGCTTGTTGGTGCGATGAGAAACCTCTTCCCCACAAATCTGAATTGGGATTGGTGCTCCGGCCCGCGGAGCAGTCAACTGGAGCTCGACCAGCTACCTAGAACAAATGGGTTGGGGGGGACCCAAGAGGCGTGAAGAACGGCAGCAAGACAAAAGGTTCTGATCAAGCTGCAAACTTTATTTTTCCCAACTGGGTATATATATAGGGGGGGAGGGAGAGATTAGGTTGCTTGCTATTGGCTAGCTTGAGACAAAGAAGGGCCCGCTTATTGGTTACTTGGGTGCAACTGGTACTCGTGGACACCTCATGTGCCCGTAGCCGATTGACTTGTGGAGCGCACAGGTTCCTGTAATCAACGCATTGTTTTTAGCTAGAAGCCAGGTGTAAGGTTCCCAACAGATTGGGACACACTCACTATGGCCTTGCCAATATATCTACCCCTTTTTGACCTATAAAACTTGCCATGTAAGAAGTCAAAATTTTATTGGTGTGACTGAAGATCCCAGCAGGAAGACTAGGGAGGGAGTGACTGGCTCTGGCCTTTGCGGGCGGTGATCAGGTGGTCGTCACCAAGCCCCCCCTGAGCTCCCCTCTCCTCAGGTACGACAGGGGCCCTCTGTGTGGGGGTGTCTGAGGGTGGTGCACAGGGGGAGGCACATCAAGGGCTCATGTGCCCCAGGCCCTGTGCTAAGGGCGTGACCCACAGCCCCTCTGAGACATCTCCCAACACAGTGGGAAGTGGGTACCCAGCGCACAGCAGGGCTCTGTACATACTCTTCTCTTTCCCTTTGCCTCTGGGCAATGGTGTGGCTCCCTGAAGCATCTTCCCCTCTTGCTCCGTCACATCCCTGCCAGTTCTGCTCCTCTGCGGAAAGTCCAAAGCCTACAGGTAGAAAGAGCAGGTGTATTGATGTCCCTGTCCCTTTCTGTCCCTGAAGAGATCACCTGTGAGTTCAAGGGCAGAGAGGGAGACTCACACTTCTGGTGCGTGGAAGGGTCTGGAATCTCTTGCAAGAGTGTGGAGATAACCCGGCTACAGCGGACATGTTTGCACTGGCCAGCCTTGGGCTGCGCAGCTGACAGAAGCCACTGGCTGAAGCTAGAGCCGTGGCTGGTTGTCCTTCAGCTGCGGACCGAGTGGGGCTCAGCACCTTGTAGGAAGAGAAAAATGTCTGGGCATCAGCTGGTGGAAACGGTCCTGGAATTCATAACAACCGAAAGGAAAGAGAGGAGTTTTTATTGTTTTAATTGGCAGCTGTCTCTGGATTCTTGTTTGAGTTTGGAGAGGGCAACTGGGCAGGTGTGAGTGCGTGTGTGTACGTGTGTGCATGTGCAAACCTATGTGCGTGAGGGAAGGTGGGAGAAACCTAGGTGTCTGCGGGGCCGGAAAAGCCCGGGAGGAGAGGACGCAGCTGTGTGTGTGTGTGCTGGCAGGTCAGTAAGAAGCGTAGGCGCCCCGGGCCGCCTGTGCTGCGTGTGAAACGGGGAAAAGGAGAGCCCAGTGGCAGTGTTTCAGGGAAGAGAAGAAGGCTCTTTATTGTGTGTGCACACATGTCCAGATAAAAATGGAAAATTGTGGATGAAAGGGCAGGAAAACACGAACACGTGAGCCGGAGGAAACCACGGCCGCTCGAGAGAGGGCAGGAGACGGCCCTGCGCCAGCCTGGAATGAGCGGACGCACCGCGGCTCACTCCTGCTGCCGGCCGCCCGTCCAGAAATAGTTTCCGGGAACCTGGGAGCGCTCCCTGCCCCCCGCTGGTGGGCCAGCGGGGAGATAAAGCCACCGCGTCGCTTGTCTTGGCTGCCTCTCAGCTGAGACTGCTGACAGGCTGCTTTGATCTCGGGTTATCAGGGCCTAACCCTGTGCCCCCGGCCTCGCCTGGCAGCCTCCACCCGCGGTCCCCTCTGCGGGAAGGGCGTTCCAGAAGGTCACTGTTGGTGGGGCGGCGCAGACCTCGTGCCTGTTGTTGGCCTTGGAGCCCGGGCGCTTGATGCAATGAGGGCACCATCTTTTACTCTAGGAGCGGTGACAAAAAGGGGGACCAGGCTGGGGACCAGAAGCTTTGAAGTGGAGCCGTGCAAAATGGTGCCCTCCATGAAGAACACGTGGGGGCCTTTACCCCAAGCAGTGGCGGGGGGGGGGTGCGGCGCGGGGGAGACAGGAAATAGCAATGGCAGCCAGAGACCTTGTGTTCTTCTCTTAGGACGGCCGCTGAGTCACTGGGTGCCCTTGGGCAAGGCTGCTTCTCCTCGGACTTCAGTTTTCAGCCCCTGGCTCCTAAAATGGAAGTGCTTTTGCAACTGTGGAACTTCCCATTCCAAGAAAATCATATGCCTAAACCCAGATGTAAAGCAGATTAAAGGAGGGTCGGGGGCTGAGGTTGGATGAAGGGGGTAGGAAGACCCGGCACCCCAATCCTCAGTTTGTCTTTGATGTCTGTTGGGTTAGATTGCTAGGGCTGCCGTAACCAAGGTGGCTTACACCAACAGCTTTATTGATTCACAGTTCTGAGGGCCTGAAGTCCAAGATCAAGGTGTTGGCAGGGCCGGGCTCCCTCTGAGACCTGTAGGGGGAAGAATCCTTCCTCACGTCATCCAGCGTCTGGTGGTTTGTCAGGAATCCCCGGCCCTCCTGGTGTCGTGAATGCATCACACACGTCTTCCATTGTCACGTGGCCTGATTGCTGTGTGTCCTCAGGTGTCTTTTGTCTGGACACGTCTCTGTGTGCAAACTTCTTTGTATAAAGACACCAGTCACACTGGTTTGGTGTCCCTGAGGACCTCACTCTAACCAACTGCTTACCAAATCAGATCATATTCTGAGACACTTGGGGTTAGGACCTCAACCTATTTTTTTGTGGGGGGTGGATGGGCACCCCTCAACCCATAACACCCACCTTATCTTTTCTAAATTCCTGACTTTCTAGACTCTGTGAGCGTAACAAAATGGTATCACAGGTTTCAGGGCACTTTCTTACGCAGCGGTAATAACTGCAACAGGAAGTTAAACCGAAAGAATATAGATGCCGGCATCAGATCTGCTGTGTTGCTCCAGTTAATATCTTATCAAATCCTTAATATAATATCAAATCCAGTTGCTCCACTTAATATCTTAATCCAGTCACTTCTCTGAGCCTGGTTTCCTCAGCAGAAGGATGGCATTGAATGGAGAGACCACCTACAAAGCCCCAGGTACCCTAGAACCACCCCCTACCCCCTGTGCCAAATTCATGCAGAAGTGTATTTAGTCACAGAGGTAGGAGGGAGTCATGGACGAAGTGAGCCAGCTGCGCTGCATGGGCTCAAGAAACAAGTTCCAGAGGCAAAAGAAGGGTCCCGGGAGCTTAGGGAAAAGAAAGGTGGAGAGAACAAAATACCTATTGATTTTTTTTAAAGATTATATTTATTTATTTCTTAGAGATGTGGGAAGGGAGGGAGAAAGAGAGGGAGGGAAACATCAGTTGTGTCTCATATGCACCCTGACTGGCGATCAAACTGCACCCCTTTGGTGTATGGGAGGGTGCTCCAACCCACTGAGCCACACCGGCCAGGACGCGCCTCGTAGGTTCTTGATCAAGCTCTTTCTCTGTTCCTGAGTGACTCCTCGCCACAGTGCCACTGAGAGTTGCAGAGTAAGTCTGAGTTTCTGAATTCGGTGGGCAGATGCTGGGTCCCAGGAACCAGAGCCTTATTTCATGCCTGTGGGGCTGGGGGAATACGTCGGGAGGTCCCCTTCTCCACCCAGACTTTCAAGACAGGCTAGTCTAGGCTAACCTTGGTTTTCTGTGACCCACGGAGGACCGAGGCCATGCAGAGGCCTCGTGGAATGCCTCCCATATCAGACGGCCACTGCCCTACTGCATTCTGAGTTGCTGAGCGTACATAAATTAAAACCATCCCTGCTCCCCTTCCCTGTGAGCACACACGTGTAATTTCACTGCGGCCGGGATGAAGTGCTCTAGGCGAAACGTGTTTGGGGCTTGGCTGAACCCGGACTGCTCTTGAAAGACACAGTTCTGCTGGGCCAGCTGGGGAGGCAGCTGTGTTTGGCCCCTTCCCTCCGCTCCACACACTGGGTGATCCGAAGGCCCGGGACCGACAAGCCAGCATGTGGTCTGAGAAGTTCAGAGGACCACAGATGGATGGGGGAGTGGGGGCGGCTGGGAGTGTTTTCATTTTTCACTTTAAACAATTGTAGCGAAATATTCATAATCCAAAACTTACCATTTTAATTCTTTTTAAGTGTTCGGTTCAGGCATATTAAGTACATTTAGATTGTTGTGCAACGGTTGCCAGTCACCGCCCATTTCCAGAACGTTCTCATCATCCCAGTGAAACTCCATCCTGGTGAAACACCGGCTCCCTGTGTCCCCTCCCACCGGCACCTGGCAGTCACCAATCTTCTACTTCGTCTCTGTGGATTTGATCATGTTCGTCCCTTTGTCACTGACAAATTTCGCCTAGCATGGTGTCCTCAAGGTTCACCCCGGTCTTAGCAGGTATCTGAGTCCCCTTCCTCTGTGTGTGTATACCATTGTATACATTCTGCTGTAAACACTGTTTTGTTTATCCATTCATCTGTCCAGCGATATTTGGATTGTTTCCACCTTTTGGCTGTTGTGAGTAATGGTGCTGTGAACACTTGTGTACAAATAACCTGGTTGGGTTCCTGATTTCAGTTCTTTCGGGCATATACCCAGAAGGGGAATAGCTGGACCAGATACAGACATATGTTTGGGGAGTCGCTCGCAGCCTTGAAGGTCTTTCAGACCTTGAACGCCCTTGGAGAACTGGGCAAGAACCTTTGAGCTCCTCTCCTCCCTCAGAATCGGCAGATGCACAAGCCAGAATATTGCAAGCCAGATGCAAAAGAACCAGAAAATTTTTAAGTGATTTAAAAATAATCAGATAGTAGTCATAATAATAATATTAATAAAATTTAATGGCATTGAGCATAATGTGTAAGACGCTGCCCAGAGTACTTTGCATTTATCATATAATTGTATTTTCAAAACAGTCTTATGGGGTAGGTATTGTTAATATCTCCATTTTACAGATGAGGAAACTGAGACTCAAAGAGGCTGCATCACTTACCTAAGGCTGAGAATCTGGGATTCAAAGACATGCCTGTTTGGTTCAAGGCCACCCTCTCTGAAACCCTGAATACTGCGGCTTTCATTACGATGTCAAAGATGCTTTCATGACAACGATCAGGTGACCTGATGCATGGAATGTTGAGTGTCCCCATGATTCTAAAGACTTCATTCAGTAACATTAATTAGCAACTCCTACGTGCAGGACCCTTGGGTCGTAGTGATAAATGGGACTTGGTCCCTGTCTTCAAGACACTGAAAGTCTGTTGGGCAGACAAAGGTGCACAAGAAATTGATAGAAAGGCAGATCCCACCAGCTTAAGTCTCCAAAAGGGATTCAACTGTTTACATATCTCCAAAGGAGAGCAGGGTGCCTTACACAAGGGAAAGAAGGAAGGTAGGAATTAGGGCCTAGGACTGAATTCAGGGTTCAGCGCCCCCTTTTCTTTCCCTCTTTCCTTCTTCCTCTCTGTCCTCCATTTGCTTCTCAATTATTATCTCTGGCCTCCAGCATCTTCAAATAGCTCCTTGATTCATGTGGAAAAGAATCTTCTTTCAAGCATCAGTATATGAATCCCAGGAAAGAGCTTTGATTGGTCCCATTTTGGTCTTATGACCTCCTTTGTCCAATCACGATAACAGTGTGGAGTTCTTCGCTAGACCAATCTTAGGTGCTGTACCCAAGAGATACGGTCAAGAGGCCAGAGAAATGGGGATGGAAAAGATTCCCAAGCAGACATAAATAAAAGCTATGCAACCTACTCCAGAAATAATCATTGATGTCTCAATCAAGATTTCTTGTTCGTAGGAAACAAAACCCTCTACAAACTTACGAGTTCAGAGCAAGGCGCGGCCGTCATTGGGAGGGCTCAGAATGAGACACAGGAAGATGAGAACTAGATGTCACCTTCTCTGTCTCCCTGGGACCCTGTGGCACCGAATCTTTGTTTCTCTCTGTACACCTCTTTCATTCTTTCTTTTTTCGAAGCACAGTTTTCTCTGGTTCAGCACCCAGCAGATGCCAGGGCCCACTCCAGCCCCAACTACACAGGAACAAAAAACTCTGGCCCGAAATGTCAACAGAGCTG